TACACACCTGATCCTTGCCCTTGCATTCTTCCACACCTGCTTACAAGCTGTGCATCCTCCCTGTTTCCTACAGGAACCTCTCCTGCACTCCTGGACACACCCACGCTCCTCCCACCCAGTAGCAATCACTCACCTGCCTGTCAGCCTGGAATTTCCAATTTCCTGCCATTTTCTCCATTTACCTTTCTTCTGGGAAGCTGGCAGGGAGCAAATCACATACTGCCTTAGGACATTGTGTACAAGCTTACAGCTTATAAATATGTGTGGAAGAGTGCAAGGGCAAGGATCAGGTGTGTAAGGGTGTGGCATTGGTTGGTATGTGTGAGTGCACTGAGTCTTTTCACATAAAATCTCATTCTGGTTATGCAGTTGTGACAACTGCTCCAATTTGGGTAACATACTTAAGAAAAGGTACAGAATGTTGTTAATGCTTCAGAACAGTTGTAAGATGTATTCTGTTTAGCGGATCAGAATGAATTAGTATGTGGTGTGATTTGTCGCAATCTTTTGCCTTTTATTTTCTACGTATGAGTAGGTGAATTTAGACAACACAGCAGTTATGTATACTGCTTGGCCAAATATGGGCAATCATAAATAGTAATTGCATTCTATAATGGTTTATTATTATTCATTCAGTTTCTTTTGCAAACTGCTCCTACCACACTGCGTTTAAAATTCAAAAGCGGCAAGTGTTTTGAAGTGATTATATTCTAACCATCACCACTAAATTAAGTATTAATCAAACCTCCGTGCATTTGAGGTTTGTATCCTGAGGCAGCAAACAGCTTTATATTATATTCTGTCATTTGCCAAATGTTAATCTTTGTTTTAGCAACTCATTTAAATGCTTGACATCTGTTTTTTCAAGATAATTGGTTCAGAGAAAGATACTTAGGACATTATTCCATTGCAAGGCAATGGAATGTGAAGTGGAAAGAAAAGATTTAAATACTGTAGAAGGATAGCAACCTGAACCTATCTATAATCATTGGGATATATCAATCTCTTTAATTCATTATTTTTAATAAATGAATCACAGAAAGGATAGAGTAAGCATGCTGACTAGAGAATTCTGGGAGTTGAAAGTTCACATATATTAAAAGCTGCCAAGTTTGAAAAGCATTGTACTACACCAAACTGGCTTATTTTTTCAGATGTCAGCATCCTCCAGAAAATAATTTTCTGATTGCCAGTATTGTATCTTATCTCATTGGGTGGAAATGTTATGTAATTAGATCCAATAATGGTTCTAAAATTGTTGTCATTGTTTATCGTGGCTGTATGTATGCTGCAGTGTAAGAAGTATCTCTGAAATTCAGAAAGGTGTTACACTGAAATTAGAAAATAGATCTGTTGCTATGTGGTTCACCTGATTGTGCCTGCCTTGTGGGCAAAGCAGGTAATTAGTATTAATTGGAATGTGCAAGGCTTTGCATTCAAGGCCAAATTTATTTGCCAATCCTGGGCAAAATACAAAGTACACTAAATTATCTTGAACATGCTACATTACTTAGATCCAGATTATTTGAGAGAACAGAGTTTTCTGTATGCACTTTTATGCTTACTGAGAATTGCCATTGTAACAACTGGTGAACAAGTTTTCTCTGTTGCCATTCAAGCTGTTTGGAATGCATGCCCTGGAGAATCTCTGCATTTACTGGTTTTGTCTATTGCTATAATTCCTAATGACTCCTGGTGGTTTAGGACCTGAAGAACCTAAGATCTTTATGAGCTTTTTTAAAACCTTCAAAACACATATTTTTATATAGACTTCCAGCTGCTAATTTGAACAGTTAATTTCACCTGCTATTTGTTGTTATTTGTCATTTTACCTTTTCCATTATAGATGGCTGAGACTATTCAACAATTGGCAGGCAGTATAGCAAGTAACATTAAGTATAAATAAATAAGATGCTTTGGAGCAAATGGAAGTTTGAAGGAAGCATCTTCTTAGAACTTTTAATAGAAGCTAGCTCTTTTCCTGGGACCACACAGCTACCCTCATATATTTTGAGGTGCCTTTTTTAGAATAGAAAAGTGCCACGCAGTCCTTTTACTATTACGAGTATTAGTGTTAAAAGTTCCCAAGAGTATATATTCCAACATTTCAAATGCTCCTTAAAAGAATAATTCTCAATCCGTGGTCCAGGATGATATTGAATGCTGTAAGCGGTCACTGATTTGGCCCAAAATTGATTGATTTAAACTGTCCATCGTGTATATTGGGCAGTTTACAAATAATAATAAAACAATAAAAAGCATAAAACAACACTCCAATGTGTTAGCAGGAATAGCCAGTTCTTCAAGCCAAGGCTTTTCAGAAGGCTAGAAGAGTAAAGACTTGCCAGATTTCAGAAGAGGAGCTAGGGCTGCTAGTGATGGTATGGTAACATTTAAAGGAAGGAACCTGTGTGCAGCCACCCTATTGGACTTGTTCCAGTGGCAGATACACTCAGGTTTCATAAACAACCTGCTACTGTGCCACTCAGAGCTTTAAAAGTGATATCAGAATCTTGAATTAAAAAGGTAAAGGTTCCCCTTGGACATATGTGCTAGTTGTTCCTGACTCCAAGGGGCGGTGCTCATCTCCGTTTCAAAGCCAAAGAGCCATCGCTGCCCGAAGATGTCTCCGTGGTTATGTGGCCGGCATGACTAAACACCAAAGGTGCACAGAACACTGTTACCTTCCCATCAAAGGTCAAAGGTGGGAAGGTTCTACTTGCAATTTTTACCTGCTTTCGAACTGCTAGGTTGGCAGAAGCTGGGACAAGTAACATGAGCTCACCCCGTTATGCGGCACCAGGGATTCGAACTGCTGAACAGCCGACCTTTCGATTAACAAGCTCAGCATCTTAGCCAATGAGCCATCATGTCCCTATCTGGAATTACACCTGGAAAAACTAGAAGCTTGTGTAGCATCTGTATAACATGGACAAACCATGCATTGCCCAAAACCGTCTGCATTGCTGCACTCTAGACCAGTTGCAATTTCCACATGGTCTTCAAGGGAAACCGTCTGTCAAACATGTTTCAATGATTCAACCAAGAAATTACTAGGGTGTGAGTGACTGTGAGGAAGGCCTCTTGGCTAGTAATAGGAACTGTGCACAGGATAAAATCTGTGTGAATCTGCCCGCCTACCCATGGCTGCAAGCCTGGCAAGAGTCAGGTGATACCTCACTGGATCCAGGAGGATCAAAACCCAGAGCCACTGCATTTTGCTAGGGTTAAATCAATACTGGTCCTTCCCCATTCAAACCCTTATAATCTCCAGTCACTGGGCCAACACTGGGACACTGTTGCTTGATCAGCTGTACCCGAATATACAATTGGGTATCATCAACATTTTGATGATATTCCATCCATGCCACTGGATGAGCTTTCCCAACATCCTCATATAGATGTTAAAAGAGGAGGGGTGAAAGATCTGAGCCCTACCTAAGCCACTCCACATCACAGAGGCCTAGGGTTTGACCTATCTCCCACCACCCAAACCCGACAGTAAGGAAACTATAGTCAATGATATTGAATTACACTAATAGATCCAGGAAGATCACGACAGATGGACTACCACTGTCCTGAATCTCTCATCCACAAGCCTGGTTAATCTTGGCTCAATGCTGTAACCCAACCTGAACCCTGACTGAAAAGAGCCCACTTCATTCAGCCCACTACTCATTCAACAATCTTTCCTAAACAGAAATTGGAAACTGGTTAAAAGTTGTATAATGACTTTGCCATTGCTCTGAGGGTCAGTAGTGGTGGATAGCTTTTACAATGGCTGTATTGAATGTGATGTATTGGTTGGATTTGCTAGTGTCTATGGTTATTGTAGTGTGTGTGTGTTTTAATGTAGTTTTTATTGCATGTCTTATGTTTGCTTTAATCATTTGTTTTGATTTCAATGCTGTTGTAGTTTTTATTGCTAGGCTCCACCCAGAGTCAGACTGATGTTGGATGGCTATACAAGTTGAATAAATAAATAAATGAGTTCCAGAAAGTACTGAGTGATGGCACAACAGCCCTGAAATTGTTTTCTTTCATTTATATTTAAACTTAGACGTGATCTCTCTTCAACCATGTATTAAATATTTCTCTTCTGTCACACTAAACAATCACAGTTTGGTAACATTATTTGGTGTGACTGTCTAGGAGCCACTTCCAACATTTTTCCAGGCTACTTGATGTACACCTCTCCTTACAGCAGTGTTTCTCTTGCTGAATGGGGAATTCTGAGAGTTAAAGCACTCATATCTTAACATGGCTAAAGTTGAGAAACACACAGTGCACCTCACATCTTATAATTCTGAAATGGGGGCTGCCTCCCTGAAGATGAAAATTCCTTTTCAACAAAACTTTTCTCTGTGCCGTGCAGTGCATAGTTGCGCATTATGATTCCAGTGATAATTTACAAAGAAGTAAAGAAGATATAAACCCCATCTGAAACTTTCCATCACCCAAAAAGGTATATAGCACCAACTTTTCCGAAGTGGCTGTCCAGGAGCGCCTCTTCTTTCTTTGAGATCCCGCCTCCACGGAAACCAGGCAGGAAAACAAATTGCTTCCCCTTGGAAGGGCTCGCTATCTAGAATGGCTACAGTAAGAGGAAAACGCTGGACGAGCCTTAGTCTAATTATTTATCAACCGGGCTGCTGGTGCTTGTGGTTGAAACTGTCAGAGGGCAGCGAAACAATCCCTGGAAATAAATCTTCCTTGCGTTTAATCGGACTCTCCCGCCCTGAAGGACTCATCCGACCAACCTACGGGTTGCCCGCGGGCGAGTTTCAGGTGTTTGGGTCACACGGAGAGACAAAGGCGCTTCTCTTCGCATCCCAGCCTCTTGGGTGCCTCCGCGCCCCGCCCCCGAATTGGCCTGGAAGGAAGCGCTCGGCCAATGGAGCCGAGCGGGGAGAAGGCGCCTCTCCCCACCCTTTGCTCAGGTATGTAGGTATTGCGCATGCCCTCTCCGGGCTTGGGTGTGGCTGGCGCGCGATAGCCTGCCTGGGCTGCCGAAGGAGGCGATGCGCCTCTTAAAGAAGTGCGAAAGCGCAACAGGTGTTGGAGCTGCGTGAAGGCGAGGTAAGGGTTGGCTTTCAGCGGAGCTGGTGGTCAGGGCTGAGCGGCATTAGAGGCGCTCAGAGGAGAGCGCGTGAAGGGGAGCCCGGGAGGAATTCTTTCCCGAATTCTTTTTGCTCTGAATTGACTCTGATCTGAGATAAGTGTCCCTGTGCCTATCGCAGTGGCGCTAATTTTAGGGCTTGGGAAAGTATGTCGGTCCCACGGCCTCTGAGCTCCGATCTCTCTGGATCAAACTAGTTCGTTCAGGCTTCTCCTAAAGTTGAGCAATAGTGGCTGGAGGAGTGGGGAGGGGGGAGAGCCGAAAGGAACGCAGGAAATGGGGGGGGGGGTTGGGGGTGGAATGTGCCTTGGTTTTCCCTTTTATTTTTCTCCTCAAGTTTCAAGGGATATTTATTTATCCCTTGATAAGGATCCCTCGGGGATATTTATGCTAAGTGACAATCAACTTTATACTTTTGAAGTTGGAGGCTGCGTTTCAAACAAGCAAACTGCATTTTTGACTTAGATAGGTGTGCTAAGCCTCAATCTGTCTACTTTTCCTCTGGAAAGAATTTCTGTTAAATATCCATTTATCAAGACTTACTGTGTTTCCATATACCAGTAAGCTACGCTCCTTAGTTGTAGCAAATATAGCTGCATTTCGCAGGTGGCGTAGATGGTTTTTAAAAGTTGGCAAATATCTCTGTAGTTATTTTACTGCTCCCTATTATTTATTTTCTTGTAAGAAAAAAACACCCCAAAACAGTGCGATATCATGACAAGTTACAAAAAAATTCCTACATGTTCCATAGCATTTTACGATTGAGAAGATTATGCCACATGAAAGTCTTGTCAGGAAATATCCAAAATTGTATGCTACCTTAACTTTTGTACTATACCTACTCTACATAAATTTCTTGATAGCAGTTTAAGCATTTTGATTAACATAGCACATACAAACTGATTCCATAGCCAGTTTTTAAAGTGCCACGGTTTTCTTCTACTGATACATTGGAAAGCATCTTCTAGTAATGTTAATGCCTATTTTTCTTTAGTATTAATTTGACTTGCAAGTGTGTCCAATTTAAATATATCTGGCAGGTACTTGGATTTTTCTGCTCTTTAATGAAGTCATTTTGTATTTTACATTGAGCTGGGTTTTCCAGTATATGGTTGCGAACATCTTTATCTTCTATCTATCCCAGTGCAATAACCATATTGAATTCTACGGTATAGTGCAATATCAGATTTTCAATTTCAATTATATAGAATGTAAAGGATGTATGTTTGTATTTTTATTTTAATAGTTATAATGTACACTGGAGACAGCATTTAATTTTGTTGTATCATGTGCAATGACAATAAAGTAAATTAAACTAAACTTTAAGTTTGCTCTTAAAGAACCAAAGACAAATCTTCAAGAAATTTGCTAAAAAATGAAGTCTTTACTATTAGGCTCTATTACCTATAACAAGAACCCGTTTCTGCCAATGTTGCCATTTTGTCCATTAATGTGATTCCTTTAATAATCTTCCTTTAATTTATTCAGATATGTTTTAAATAAACATATTTATGATATTAATACTTTGGTGTATTTATGTAATATAGCAATTTATATGTTACTATCATCCTAGTTCTGGTTCATAGTTGTAAAACATTCTGCACAGTATTGTTTTTTTACTACATTTTATTAAAAAAACAACAGGTGCTTTGAGAGCAAGAATATTTTTCAGTAGATTTGAACTATTTTTCTGTTTTTGAGGTTTAAAAAAGTGCATGCCTTGTCTATAGTGTGATATAAGTTTTTTCTGATTGTTACTTTTCTTGAAAGAGGTGAAAAATGGTTTCATTAATAAAAGGAGCGTTATGAATGGAGCTTCTTTGTCATTTCCTGCGACCTCCTTATTTATAAAATATGTTCAGAATGCGAAACTGCAGTTTTTATCTAGACTAAAAAGACTACTTACTATAAAAACTTTGAGCAAGCGGAATTTATGATGCATATTTCAGTGGAAGTCTACATATGTTTGAAATAAATATCAGAGAATGCAGAAGAATTAATCTCCAAATTATACCTCATTTTGGGAATTATCTCATTTAGTGACCATTACAATGGTGATGGAAAAGTAACCTTGCAACCTATCCTTGCATTTCTGGTACAACCTTGGCAAGTGCATAAAGCAAAGGAAGTAAGATCATGAGCATAGTTCAGTTTCACTTAGAGACCACTTTACTTATGAAGTGCTGAAATAATTGGTCTCAATTATGGTCACAGAGTGAGGAGTGCCTGCATTTCTGTTAGATTGCATAGTGAATCTAAATAGTCTGAATTACCAGGATAAATTATACAATTAAAAATAGGTAACTGAAAATAGCTCTTTGCAATATAGAGAATTAATAATTTAACTCATCATTCCAGGTATTCTTGGCTAAAAGATTTGTGTTGTGCCCTGAGCTTAATCTTGAAAATTAGCATTTCACAAATTTATTAGCATTTTGTTTCAATTAAGTTATTAAATAACTTATTGGTATATTTTTCTTTATAGGTAAAAACGTCACAACCCAAAGTTCCACTATGTCACCAAGACCTTTTGAAAGTCCTCCACCCTATCGCCCAAATGAATTGTAAATATCTATTTCATTTACTATAGATAAGTAAAGTACACTATTAAAATATGGATTCTGGCAGTTTTTTCCATTGTTGATATAATTTCTTAATTCTTTATAATGACAAAGCTATTAAAAAGTATGTACAATGATTAGAGTAGCTAAGATATTCTGTAGCACCTGCTCATTTTGTTAAAAACTTTTTTATATTTCCAAAATAGCTGAATATTTCACAGCAGACACACAAATGTTTGGGAGCTTTGAATCTCATGTAATACAAATTTGAGCTGAAAGGGAGGTAAAATGTACTTCCTCAGTGACAGAAATATCACAATAATTGGCCATAGCTTCATTTAACCAAGGTATTTATTTTAATGGAAGAAATATTCATTGCTGATCCAGACTGACAGCTCAATTTAATGAATATGTTAATAAAATATCTTTTCCGTCTCATTTTCTAATTTTCTTCCATATGTGTAAAAAGCACCATTTATGGAAATGACTTCCATCTCACCACATAATTCCCTACTTCATTAAATCTTTTGGTCAGACATTATCATCTGAACACTACTTAATGATAAACTTTTTTGGAAGCAGCAATAAATCTTATGGACTTTCTACATGCATTTGTAGATTGTATTTGATCATCGCAGATTATGCGTGTGAATATGTAGCATATATAAATATGTTCTGGAGAAATGTAAAGAAGTTAAACTGGATGTTTAATGTTATTTGCTTTGATAAAATAGTGTCTTAATAGTTTCTTTAATCTTTGTAGTGTACCTTCACATTATTTACCAAGCAACAATACATTTGGTGGTGAATTCCATTCTCAACTTATGCACTCTCAACCAGCATATTCTTATTATCCGGAAGATGAAGTGCAACGTTTCTACAAGTGGTCCTCCCCACCAGGAATAATCAAGATCATGTCAGTTCTCATACTAGTCATGTCTATTGGGGTCTTTGCTTGTGTTGCCTCTACTCTGGCTTGGGATATGGACATGTATGGAGGTGCACTAGGAACTGGTTTGGGATATCCTGGCTATGGAGGTTTTGGAACCAACTATGGTGGATACATTGGCAGCAGTTTTGGAAGTTATGGTGGCTATAATAGTGGATATGGCCTTGGAGGAAATTATATTGATCCACGAGGAGCAAAAGGCTTTCTACTTGCAATGGCAGCTTTTTGCTTTATTGCTGGATTGATGGTTTTTGTGATTGGTGTTACAAAGACTAAGATTGCCAGGACAAGGAAATATTATCTCTTTGTGATAATAGCAAGCTCTATATTGCTCTTCTTGATGTTCATTGCTACAATTGTATATACACTAGCAGTCAACCCAACTGCACAGTCTTCTGGATCAGTGATCTACAATCAGATCTATATGTTGTGCAGCCAGTTTTACACACCCGCAACTACTGGACTCTACATAAATCAATACTTATATCACTACTGTGTGGTGGAACCTCAGGAGGTATGTAAATAAATTAGTATCATCCCCAATGCAAAATATTAGTTGTATTGAAAGTAAAAATAGAATTAAAACTTAGTTTTATGCAGAAATGATTTCACTGGTCTGTCCAGGACACTGAATGTTAGCCACCCATTTTTGTAATAGTATGATTTTTTTTATTCTTATTATAGGGAAAAAACAAAAAAAATGGAAATGTCTTGGTTCTCATTCCTTATAAACAGATTCTGACACAATGCTTGCTAGTTGTTTTGGGGGGAATCTTGGTGTGCTCTGTAAGCTTGATTATTTTCTTGCAGACATTTCATGACCCAAGCTATATACATCATCAGTGCTCCAACATTTATTTTACCTACCTCGAAAGGATGGAAGGCTGAGTCAACCTTGAGCCTGGTGAGATTTGAACTTGCAGTAATTGCAGGCAGCTGGTGTTACTTAACAGCACTTTAATCTGCTGCGCCACCAAGGCTCTTAACATCAACATTGTTGATATTTTGGCTAGAACACCCATAATACCTGCCATTAACTATGGGATTATTGAAATTCTAATGCAGTTCATTAGGAGAATACTACCTCCATAGCTATCCAGTTTAGATAAGAACCTACAAAATGATGAGGTGGAAACTAAAACTTATAAATCATATAAGTGCAGGATTCCAACAGTGGTTTGACTGTATTTGTATACCATTATATGCTTGTATCTTTACATTTTCAGTCCAACTCTATGTCCCACAATTAAAATTCTACATATATAAAACCTTTTGCTAAATATATTGGCTGCAGTTGTATCTATTTGATTACACTAACTTATGCCATTGCCAAGGGAAATTCTGGAAATGGATAAGAATTTTAGATATATCTAATGCAATTTGTGCAAGCTTAATTCTTTGTAAGCAAACCAATATGAGTGCGGAATCTGGAATTTATCTGATCATTAAAAGGCTTTTTATAATTTTATTGAAAAAAGTGAACTTTATTACATATTTTGATAACTATATTCAAAATGTATGTATTTGACTAGAAAAATATACTGTAGATTAAACATGGAGAAGATTAGATTCTTTTTTCCAAAAGCAGTGTTCCATCAGACTGAGTTCAGTAAAATAAATATGAAGGACATATTTATTTACTGCATAAATATTATTGTTAAAATAGTGCATGCTATGTGCATTCATGTAAATAATAATGCTTATTTTTGTTTAAGAAGCTCTTCCCCAATTTGTTTAGTTTTCTCTATAAATCAAAATTTCCCAATAAAGTGGAAACAGCAGGTTGAATATATTTTTGAATCTTGCATTTTTCAGTTACCATATAATGATTCCATGTTGTTTATTTGTAATTTGAAAAAGACAGACATTCTATTTAAGATTATTTGTGGTTGTAAAAGCAGTAGACTAAACATACTAATCTGCTTTTTCCCCAGGCTATTGCCATTGTATTAGGTTTCCTGATTGCTGCAGCTTTGGCTATAATAATATTTTTCGCAGTAAAAACCCGAAGTAAAATAGGTTACTATGGCAAAATGAGTATACTCTGGGATAACACAAAAGGTTATGATGAAACTCCTAATGTAGAAGAATGGGTAAGTTAACTATTTAATATTTATTTGGGAATGTTGCAGTGTTTGTGTTTGTTTTATAAATATGTGCTATGCTGAAATATGCTTTGCAGTAATGTGCAGGTGGTAAGGCAGAAATAAGATAGAAATATTTTTTATCCCTACTGGAATTACATTATAGCCAATTGTGAATATTCATCAATATCCGTGTTTCTTAACCTCAGCAAGTGTAAGAAGTGTGAACTTCAAGTGCCAGATGACTGGGGAATTCTGGGAGTTGGTCCAGACTGATCTACGTAATAGTTATTTCTCCAATAAATAGTTGTTGAATTGTTGGAAGGGGGAGGTTTATAGAGAAATAAATGAGAGTGAAAAGAGAAGAATGAGTAAATATGTAAACAGCTGCAAAGATTGCTGCAGAAAAATATGGTGGTCTTTAGGATTTGTCACAGGATCAGCTGACACTTTGTGGGAGCATATGTGCTGGCTGCCTCCTTACTGATTTTAGTCCTTTTTATAATGGCTAAATCAAGGTTCTCTCCTTTCCTTCTCTGCCAATTATACCTTAATGCATCTCTGTTTTTCTCTGCTGGAAGGCAGTTGGGAATGTATCTACATCAATGGGTTTCTATGAGAGAAAAAAATGAATTTTATATGAACGAACGAATGAATTTTTATTATGGCCTCTGGCCAATCAGGATAATATATGCAAATAAGCAATTGCTTTTATAAGTAGAATTTATATGTTATTTTATAGGCAATTCATTTTAATAAGTAGCTATTTAATTTATCTTGCATCTTGGCCTTGCTTCTATTTGAGAGGAGGAATGTAGGTTTGGGCAGATGTCAACCTATCTATACATCCATCCAGCTGCATGCAAATCTGGTCAAATTGGTTTCAATGGATTCCTGGGTGAAAAGAAGTTGAATCAATTCCACATGACACAAAGTTAAACAGACCATTTTTTACTATTTATGTACAGTTTATGAGCCCCAAATAAGAAAATAATGAATATGAGAGAACACTTTAGCCACTTCATTATTTTATTACCGTGTTTCCCCGAAAATAAGCCCTCCCCTGAAAATAAGCCCTCCACCGAAAATATTTAAAGACATGTACAGCCTGTCCCCGCCATTTCCTCTGGTTAGGGTTAGGGAGACAGAGCTGGAAATCAGGTAAGACGGCAAGAGGAGCCCCGTCTTGTTCCACACACCCCAAAATAATAAGTCCTCCCAGAAAATAAGACCAAGTGCTTATTTCAGGGTTCAAAAAAATATAAGACAGGGTTTTATTTTCAGGGAAACATGGTAAAAAGGTAACAGTTATAAGAAAATGCTGCTTATTTGGTTGTTTCATATGGGAAGCCACATTTGCAGTTTAAAACATACTGAATTGGTGGGTGAGGGATTTCAGTAATCCACCTGTGAAGTTTTTAAAGGGAAAAAAAAAACTTCAAGGGGCACAAAGTGCTAGGAGTGCCCCTCATCCTAACTGAAGGTGTTGACCACAGGTTAGAGGGTGAGGGGCATTCCTGGCACTTTGTGCTGCAACCAATAAAATGATGAGGTTAGTCTTGAACAATTCAAGTACACCAGCCAAACAGACTACAGCAATTGAAGCAACATTGGCAGGAAAATGTGCCTGGACGTTGTGTTCATGATACCCTGGACAGTCTGATCCATTCCAACAGACTAACAGATTAACAGAGTTGGGAGGGACCTCGTAGGTCATCTAGTCTAACCCCCTGCCCAAGCAAGAGATCCTACACCAGGGGTGTCAAATTCAAGGGCCAGGGGCTGGATCTGACCTGCGGGGTACTTAGATCTGGCCTACGGGGTTGCCCTGGAAACAGTGAAGGATTGGCCCACAGTCCTTTTGCCAGCAAAAATGGGCTCCTGCGCTCCATTTTCAGCTGCCACAGGCCCCTTCAACTCTCTGGCAGTGAGAACGGAGCTCGGGAAGGCTGCATGCCTCTCTCCCGAGCTCCATTTTCACTGGCAGATCATTGCAGGAGGCCGTGGCAGCCGAAAACGGAGTTCGGGAGCCCATTTCTGCTGGCAGAGCGTTTGGGCCACCATAGGCTCCCCCAATAGGAGTGATGTCAAGCTGGCCATGCCAACCTTGGCCCCTCCACCCCAGTCTCCCATGGTCAAATACAAGCCTGATGCGACCCTCAATGAAATCGAGTTTGACACCCCTGCTCTACACCATGTCTGACAGATGGCAGTCCAGTCTCTTCTTGAAAACTTCCTGTGATGAAGCTCCCACTTCTGAAGGTGAGCTGTTCCACTGGTTGATTGCTCTCACTGTCAGAAAATTTCTCTTATTTCCACATTGAATCTCTCCTTGTTCAGTTTCCATCCATTATTGCTTGTCTGGCCTTTAAGTGCTTTGGAAAATAGTTTGACCCCCTCCTCTCTGTGGCAGCCCTGCTATCCAAAACTGATTATTGGCCTAAATGAGGCAAGGTGCCACTGTAGACAAGCTCTTAGGTAAATCCAGTTTTTCTTCTATCCCCATGTTATTTCCTGTGTCACTGGCTGTCTCACAACCTCAAAACATAAGAGGCTTCCCTCCCTGGACTTAAAAGGTTGGCATTACAACTTTTTCATCTAAAAACAAATAGGCATTATAGATTGAAATCAATTTTTTATAGTGTTAGAAATAATGAGGTAATTTACTTTCTTAATTGTCCAATATGTAGAGGACTTGGAAACTAAAAATAGTAGCATAAATCTTGTATATAAATTGCCTGTTTGTGTTTGTACTGTGCATCTCGGCCCCTTTTGACTTAACTGCAACATTGCTTTTGCATTGACCTTTATCAAGAAGCTTATTGTAAAGAGAATGATTACTTCATCTAGGGCTTTAAATGAGACAAAGTGAATGTTTCGGTGAGACAGTTTCAGGGCGTGTACTTTATTAGCTAATGAACTTGTTTACTCATGTTTCACCTGATAGAGGAGAGAGTAAAACCGAACAGCAAATCAAATCCTAGTGAATAACTTGTAGCTGTGGTTTTTTGTATTTATCACAGAACAGTAATTTGTATTTGTGCGTAAGTGTAGACTCTTGATTAGTTCCTCGTCTCATATTATGATTTTAGTCTTGGTAGTAGTTTTCTTTCAATTCTGTTGACACTTGTTCTTGTTGTTTTGCTTTTTGCTTTGCAAAATAAATAGGGAAGAAAACCACATTCTGATGACTAACTTTTACTTAAGGTTTATGTGTTTGTCATGGACCAATCTTTCGTGGAAATCATAGCAAAGGCTATGTAAAGAAATGTTTTGGAGAAAATCTGTCCGCACAGGAGGCTTGTTGGAGGGTGGGAGGAGCACTACTGCTTCTTTGCACTTGTGTTGTCATTTTTTTTTCTCTGTTTCTTGGAGGACTTCGAAATGTACATAACAACTTACTCAGAATTACTCAGTATGCAGAGCCATTTATAGCACATTAATCCATTTCTCTTAGATTATAATTGCTAACCAAAATTGCCTGAGGATTAAGCAGAAGACCGCAAGATTGATGTTGTCTTCTTTGTGTCCACTAAATGTCCTTGGTTACAGAGACTAAATACAGTTATTGTAACTGACCAAAACATTAAATGGCTTCAGCAGTGCTGAGTGTGTTGAGCTGTAAAACCTGGGGAGGTGAGCTGTCAAGGATTTGCAGTAGAGAGAGTCAAATCATATAAAGTGCTTTATGTGCATCTGCACAAAAGTCATTTCCCACAGTTTGGAGCTGACTATGCCCTTACTGCATTTGAGCCCAAAAGCAATTGAGGCAGAGCCATGATTGCCAGGTCAATCTGAGTCTGTGAAGCTGCTGGAAGTTGCTTCTGAAATGTCCCAAATCATTCTGAGCCCCTTAAGCAGGCTGGGTTTTTTGGACATAGTAATTTCTCTATAGTCATGATAGCGAACCTATGGCACGCGTGCCGCAGGTGGCACGCAGAGCCCTCTCTCTGGGCATGCCCGCCATCGCCAGCAGCTCTTTGGATTTCTGGCACACCAGCTGGTGTTTGCGCACGCCAGAGTGCCGGAAACCGGGAGACCAGGTGGCTGGTGCACAGGACTCTGGCTTGCATGAAGACCAGCTGGAATGCATGTGCCGGAAACCTGAAGACTAGGTGGCCGGTGCGCACATGCACAATGGCCACCTGGTCTTCCAGTTTCCAGCATTCCAGGGTGCACGTATTCCAGTTTGGGCACTCGGTGCCAAAAGGTTCGCCATCACTGCTCTATAGCATTTTCAAAGCAGAATGGAGTATCATTAAAAAAAACCCTCTCATTGAGAGGTGTCAAGCACTGTTACTTGCCTTAGTTCAAATAAAAATGAGTAGTTTTCACTTGGAAAGGGAAAAAAGTTTCTTTAAGGATAAGAACAAGCAGAATATGCTTCTATTTTTTTTCCTTGCATTCAGTAATGGTAATGCCTTAGTTCAGTGATGGCTAACCTTTTTGCCGTCGTGTGCCAAAAGTGGGGGAGCACAGGGGGGCACACGCAGGCGTGCCCACATCCATAATTTAATGCGTCCTGCTCATGAGCACGCAACCCCCCGTGCTTCCCTCACTTTTGGCACGTGATGGCCCGGTGGGCCCGGTAGGCCTGTTTTTCACCTTCCCCAAGCTCCAGAGGCTTTCTTAGATGAGCCTTGGTGATGCAGTGAACTAAAGTGCTGTTAAGTGCTAGCACTTAGCTGCCAGCTGCCTGAAATTAGTGCAAGTTCGAATCTCACCAGACTCAAGGTTGATTCAGCCTTCCATCCTTTCGAGGTAGGTAAATTGAGGACCCGGATTATGGGGGCAATAAGCCAACTTTGTATAGAACACCGCCGCTTAGGGGGGCCCGAAAGCCCTAATAAGCAGGTATATACAAAAAAGTATGCAGGCTATTGCTGTAATGCATTGTAAGCCGCCCTGAGTCTATGGAGAAGGGTGGCATATAAATTGGACTAATAAAATAAATAAATAAAAACGGCCTTCCCCACCCCCTCAGAGGCCCTCCGGAGGCAGGAAACGAC